TGCCGCTGCCATCCAATTCACGTAAGCTCAGCACTCCTCACCAGGGGATTTCCGCGAGTGAAAAGGATTGCAACAGCCAAGGTTCAAGTGGCCTAAACACGGACCATACGATAACGGTCGGCATACATCATGCACCAGATGAGTTCGTGAAGCAAGCCCTTGCCATAGGCCACCCCACTAGGCTCCATTCGTTTTTCCCTGATGAAATGAATGAGGTTGTGCAACACTGTGCGCATAACACTCCTGGAGGCCTCGCTCGAGAACGAACCGAGGAAATCAAAAGGTGGATTCACCTAGCCAGCAGTCTTGCAGGTGCAGAACGTCATCTTAAAGAAAACATGTCGAGTAGGAGGAGGCAAGTCTTGCAGGGCAAAAACCTACTACTCTTCAAAACTCTCATGGAAGATGCTATGCACCGAGATTCAGATCTTGTTGACCAACTGGCTTCGGGTTTTGACTTAACCGGGAACCTTCCCGAGTCGCAAGTTTTCGCCCGGAGATTGAGACCAGCTACCATGTCTTGCGTTGAGCTCAGGAGGATATCAGAATTATGCCGGCATAACATGTTGCAGACAGTGGTTTCATCAGGGGACCCAGATCTTGACGGTCAACTGTATGCGGCCACCATGAAAGAGGTCGACAAAGGCTTCCTGATCGGGCCCGTCGAACCTGCAGACCTTCCTGAAGGGTCCACATTGACCAGACGCTTTGGGGTGAAGCAGAAGAGCAAACGAGACCCATAGATGACTACAAGGCATCTTTCGTCAACAGTAGCGTATCACAAACCGAGACTGCCACTGTCCATACTGTGGATTTTCTGAAGAGCTCGGAACTAGCGTGTCTTTGTCCGCGAAGACATGGGACCTTGCCGACGCTTATAAACAGATACCTTTAAGTGATCATGCTTTTGATAATGACGGTTTTCTGGCAGTCTATAACCCCACTAGGAAAAAGGCCGAAATTTTCCAACAAAAAGTTCTCCCATTCGGGTCTGTGGCATCCGTCACAGCCTTTTTGAGGGTCGCTCACGGCATTTGGAAAGTGGGAGCCAGACTTCTTAGGCTGATGTGGCCATCATACTTTGACGACTTCCTGTCAGTGACGACCAGTGAAACTTCTCGGCACACCGACCTTATAATCTCCTCTTTGTTTAGCATCCTAGGCTGGAGGCTTTCTGAAGACAAATTGATTGATTATCACACCATGTGCAAGGTACTGGGTGTCGAGTTTGACATGCGCATGTCAGGCCAGGGACTTGCTGCAGTGGCCAACACACAAGACAGGGTGAAGGAACTTTGCGAGGAGCTTGATAGTGTCCTCACGTCAGGTTCCCTGAGAAGAGCCGATGGAGAAAGATTGAGAGGAAGACTCCAGTTTGCTAGCGGGCAACTATTTGGGCGCAGCGCCAGAAATAGGATGAGAACATTATCCAAACACATTTCTAGTGGCAGAACCGCCCTTTGCGACAATACTATGCTCGCGCTACGTGAACTGAGGGAACAAATCTCTCTCAACGTCCCCAGGATGATCTCAGGGAAGATGTCAGACCACGTGCATGTATACGTGGATGCTTCTTACGAACCTGAAGGGTATTCCGGGGTAGGAGGGGTCTTCTATGACAGTTCTGGACAGAGCTGCTTCTTCTTCAGTGAACGGGTTAGTCCCGAATTTCTCCTTTCAATCAAAAAGGATGAACAGAAGAACATGATACAAGAACTTGAGATGCTGGCCTTGCTCATTGCTGCTGTGTTATGGCTCCCAGTGGCAGAAGGCAGACGTGTCGTCATCTTCTCAGACAGCGAAGCTGTCCGCGGGAGTTTTCTCAAGTCATGGTCACAAAATGACGCAAGCAGCCAACTGCTCAAGAAAATCTTTTCTTTGGAAGAAAGGTCATGTTGCCAAATTTGGTTGGAAAGGGTTCCGAGCCAATCCAACCCCTCTGACCATCTATCCAGATCTTTCGTGACGATTTGGAATGGACTGACAAGTTCCAGAGTTGACCCAAAAGCAGTTTGGGAACAAGCGGCCTTACCATAGGGTGAGAGCGCGCCGCAATGGCAATACCGAAGCTGAACCCCAGTCGATAAAAAGTTGAGTGCGCTGATTCGGATCTGTCAACAGTGGTACACACAACATGATGACCCCATGGCCGCAGCAAGTAGGTATCAGAACATAAGAATACTCTCATGAGAATCATGATAGATTTTTATGTGAAATACCTACCACCAACGAATGTATACGGAGTTCATACACGTGTACATGAGTTCGCGGGCATGGGGCATTTCGTCATGTGGTTGTGTGATGTCAAACCATGTTGATCCGACGTATCCTTTTTAGTCTCAAGTGAGACAGCAGCAAGTGCTGCAGGGAGAACATGAGACGAGTCATGACATGAGTAACATTATCTTCAAGTCAATTTACTTGATTAATGATCATCACACTCAATGTGATACATACTCATGTTCATGACCTGACATTTTTTATTTTCGTCCCAATACCT